AGGGATTTCCTGGGTGATGTCAGTAACTGAGGCATTGCAGATATCTCATTCGTAGGTTTAATTCTGACAGCTTTCAGGCCTGTGGTCATTTATCATCACTCTTTCTGAGACACACTAGACCCAGATCAGGGCTTCACTGTCCCCACACTCGTTTTGTATCACCGAGCAGCAAGGATGCAGAGGCACTAATTTTTCATAAAGTGTGGTAGCAGACTTTTAGACAAGGTTGTTATCCTGTACAAATGTTACCATGTTTTACCTTTCACACATATGCTAGCTAATCTTGTTATTAAAAAAAAAATAGTAACCTTTTTACTTTAATATATTTAATAATACAGAAATTTTCATTATTCCTATTCCCTTTTGCACTCATATTTCACCTAGAATATTTAAAAATGTAGGTTTAGCAATATATTGTATGGATCATCTGTTTTGCCTATAAACAGAAGCGTTTGAAACTGCAAATTCATGTCAATTTCTAGATGCATAGGGAGAAATGTGAAAGATTTAAGGAATTTGAAGAGCAGAACAAATTTGTATTTACATAATTGTACATTCAAGAATAATATTTAAAATATATTTATGAAAATTTGATGCTTAAATTATAATTATCTCACATTACACAGGGCCATAATATTTACAGTGTTTTAAAGCAGGTCATGAACGTCTGCCAAGTCAAAGGAGTTTCCCAGAAAACTGCATTTCTCTTTGGAAGAGGTGATACATTGGAAATTTTTCAGTGATGGATTAGGGAAGACATTAATGATTCTTTAGCTTTATTTTAAGTCATAGGCCTCTTTAATAATCTTATGAAAGGATAGATCTAGAAAAGTGCATATAGGTCCAAGCGAATGATTGCAGCTTCTTCATGGTTTCTCCAAAGATCATCTATAATACTAGATTAAGAATTCATAGCACAACATGGGGCATGAAAAAATAAGTAATTATTTTAATCTGACTTTATATTCAATAATATCTAATATTTTCCATTAAAAAACTAGTAAATCTCACTCTTTGTGCTCCAGTTATTCTCATTGAGTTTAGAAGAAATGATTTCACAAGTATTTTATTTTTTAACTTAAACTCTAAAAAAGTTCTAAACTTTCTTAATTGGAATGTTGAGTTGATATTTGATTTAAGTACATTCATTGGGTAAAAATGTCAGAATTTAAAATTAACTGAGGATATAAAGTTGATCTAAAGAAACTGGATGAAATTCAATAAATATCTTTTAGGAAAATTAATACTTGTTTTTTAAAAGACACAATTTATTTAACATCAGACACATCAGTCAGCTTGTGGAAAGCATAGTGAAAAATTCTAGCTTTTTAAAAAAAGCTTCTGTATAAAATTAGTGTTAATTATACTCTAGTGGCTAAGGGAAATGAATTATATTACTATCATACTATCACTGTATGGGAATTATAACTGAAGCTATATTTTCATTAAAATACTAAGTGAAATTATGTGATAATTACATTTGTTATAAAACATGAGCGAGGTTATTTAACTCTCTAGTATGTGGCAGTATTGAAATTTAAAAAAAAATTAAAATCCAGATGTTCTCTCCAAATTTAAAATCATTTTAAAAAGGAATAGTAACTGGCACTTTGATGATTTGTTAGTTTCCAATGCTACCAGTATTCAGAGTGTTCCTAAAATGTAAATTTAATGCTAGGATTTATGGAAGAATTAGAAAATATTTTATTTCATATTTTAATTCTGCTATTAGCATTAACATTGTTAATATAAAAAATTTAATAATGAATAATCATTCTTTTCAAAGTAAGATATTTGAGCTCTCTGAGCTGTGGTTAATTTTACTTTTAACTGGTTACTCAAGGGTTAATCACATTGCAAGGATTTATTTCTAATCATTACCAAGTACATTATTCTCTCTGTAAATCATGTACATTAATAATCATGTTTTCTTTATCAGTTTGTGATAAATGTTCCATTTTAACTCATAAATTTTCTCACTATTTAGACTGACACACCAATAATCCAGAATTGATTTCATTTCATTCCATAATGTACAATACACAAAATATGTAGAAAAATTAAAGAACTGCCCAGTTCACACTGAAGCCTCTTCATTGATGTTTACGAAAAACAGTTTTACTGAAACATGACCATTTGTATTGACAGTTATTTCAGAATACACACTAATGTGCACATCCTCAGGAAATAATGAGAAATACTCTTTACAAATGTGAATTATATGTAATTATCTGACTTTTTGATGTAAGTCAGTGATAAGCTGTTTGCATTTCACTTCTGATCTTGGAATCCTAGAGTGAGCATTGAGGACAGAGATACGAGTCAGGATTTTGAAAAGAAAACGATTTGGAGATTTTCTCTCTTTGACAGCTTAGAGGATGTCAACTTTCACTTCTTTAGGAATAAAGATAGTATATTAATTACTTTGGGAGGTCAGAGTGAAGTCGTTGAACCACTGTAGGATTCAGTTTGTTGTTGGTATTTTTTAAAGTCTTTAAAAATCCTGCTGCTACGGCTGCTGCAGTTCGCCTTTGCTATCCGCCGTGGTCCTGTCCTGCCTCTGAAAGCAGAAGGGCAGACAGCCCTTGCCACCAGCAGGTCCCCTTGAGAGCAAAACAACATGGAACAGCCTCGTCCAAGGGGAAAAAAGTAAGACCACATTTAATAAAGAGAAAGAAGAAGAAATGAGAGTAAGAAAGTAAACTTTAGAAGACCTTCAGAATTGCTAGTCTGGATGGAGTTGCCTTTAGAAAAGAATAAAAACAAAATATAGCTGGAGATATGTAGCTGATGACGAACCAGCCTGTCTGTAGGGTCTTCCAGGTTTGTTAGATGGAAAGCCATCCTTCATTCTCAGGGATGAAAACCTGGTCTTCTCTAAGGGACAACTGTAACCTACGTGTACTTTGCTAATCACACGTCACCTTCAATCTGAAGCATTTTCCTTAATTTTTCCACGACTTCTTGGCCACCCTGCTGTGTGTTTCTCAGGCTCACCCCAGGAATTCTGTGTCTCTCATTTAAAGAAACAAGGTGCTATCCTGGCAAGGTTAAGTCACCAGAACTATTTCAGACTGCTTTAGGCTGTAGCTCATGGGAAATAATCTTTTCAGTGCTCCCCACCACGAATTACATGATGCTAAATGTAAAGGTTACAAAGCTACAGGCTAACCACAGTCAAAAATTTCTTAAAAGGTCTGTCATTGCTGAGAATATTAAGCTGACATCATTTAAATCTGCTTTTATCACAAGTAGAGATAACTTGGATTTGCTTTAAGCATTAATTGTAGAGTACAGGTGTTACAGTTCCTCTGTCTTCCTCAAAGCCCTAAGCAGATGACCCAGGAGTTACCCACATCGCAGGCAGATGGCAGACAGCAGACAGCAGACTCCTGTACATTTTCTCAAGGGGTTTATGGCTTTCTATAAGTACAGCTCACATTTTCAATGATTTTTCTCAATTCCTAATTATCTTACATAGCATTTTGCTTTGTAATACTTACTATGACTCCTTATATATTGTCAAGTAATTAATACACTTAGAAACTGCTCTTCCCAAGGTCTTTATCAAGGCACATGTTAATCACGATAGTTATCATTTACAACCTCGAGTCAACTTTTTCAAAGCAAGTGACTGCTTCATTCTTGTAACTGTGTCATTAGGGGTTGATATCATCTGTCTAATATACTGACTTAAAGCAAAATATCTAATAATTTGGTGTTAAAAGACAATTAAAACATTTACCACACATTTCATACCATGTACTTATCTCATGGGCTATTAGTCTGTACTTGGACACACAGCCAAAGCTACATATTTACTGAATTTCCACAAGTGTCGGTGTCTTTTATCAAGGATCATGGGCCATGTTTAATTACTGGAATGGAAAATATTTGTCAGCAAGTGTCTTTATAAACTCCTGTTAGACAAGAAATTAACAACCAGGTCAATCAGATGTATCAATATTCCCATTCTCCTTTAAATCACAGAACCTCTTGGCAGAAACCCCAGTACATTAGTTACAAAACAGTATGGGTTCTGGTCAGATATATGTGTATGTAAACAACTTAATAATAAACTCTAGCACTTGTTTCAGAGATTGGCAAAAGATAAGTTATAAAGCATAAACATAGTCCTCATGCAACACAGGTACATGTCCCCAACTGTGTTCTTATTTTTTTCATTTGTAAGAATGTAAAAATTAAAGACAGGGTCTTTAAGCTACTTATGATGGATTCTGATTTAAAATAGCTCATACTTTACTGAAGGCGGTACTTCACATCTAAACAGTTACACCTGCTATACTACTTAGAAGATTAATAAAGGCTTAACTGGAATATACTCGTTTATTTACAATTTAAATTTAAAACCTAAAGTTCTATATCACATTTTCAAAAAGTACGAATTTCGTGTTTGTAGTCAGTCAGAGCTTTCAGAAAAAGAAACTGAATCTTTTCCCTTAGCAAGTCCAGTTTTAAGACTGGCAAATATTCATGAAAAGCTGTTGGTAGAAATGAAGGATTTAATAAGAATGCCTCAGAAAAGCAGATGCTCCTCCGTTACGAGTGTTTAGGTGCCTGCTTCAGCTGACAGTGTTACCTGGAGTGCATGTGTCTCAGTAAGCACGTGTAGCTTTGTGTGATGTGTTCGCTTTATATGTACAAGCAACCAGTTCATTCAATAGGGAGCATATTTTCACAATCAAATTCAGCTTCACATAATCACTTATGAATGGAATTGATATTATTTCATCTCCGATAAAGACATAGGGTCCTTAGCTTTTGTTACTAACCTTTGTGTCCCCCATCCTGTGTGATTTGAGTCACATTCATCGTTACAGCCCCAGTTGCTAGCATTTTATCTTCTGCCTTTTGTTTGTTAATCATGTGATCTTGATGTTTTATTTGAATTCATTATCAAAAGCATTGCAATCTTAAACCATTCGGTTCCTCAGAGGTGCTTCGGTCTTTTAATGGATTCCCGTTGTGTGTTTTTGCAGCAAGCTTAGTAGTGGAGGAGCGAACGAGACAGATGAAAATGAAAGTGCATCGATTTAAGCAGACAACAGGGTCTGGTTCTAGTCAAGAACTTGATCGCGAGCAATATTCCAAGGTAAAACCAGTAACTGACCAATAATTTCTCTGGTAACAAAAAAAAAGTACAATGTGGGTAGCAGGTAGGACCAGTGAGCCCTTAAGTTATAGGAGAGAAATTATGCTTCAGATGATGGTCCTGCATCATGACTTCTCTCCTCTTAACATGCTTACAAGATAGAAGCTTAGTAACATACCATTTATGAATTTAGATTAAATGTTGTATATAAAAAAGAAAATGCTTGATGTTAAAGTCACTTACTGATTGTCAGTAGTCAAATTCACATCAGTAAGGTAAATGAAGCCATTTTATCTCTTGAATTTCATTTAACATTGTACTTTAAATATTAAGATGTAGGTTTATAGTCTTAAATACTATTTGAGGTTGATAATTCCTATGATGATTTCACAGTGAATGAAAATTGTGTGATGTGAGATTTCTTATTGATCTGTCTTTAGTAAGAAAACTGATTTAAACTCTTAGAAAGTGAAATCTACCCGATTTTAAGAGATAATAAAAACTTATATTTCAAAGTTATTTTGTAAGGATGCATTGAGGAGTTTACAAACTGCTAAATAGCATCTGATAATTTTGATTAAAATATGATTCTTAATTGAAATAGAGCTTTATGCTTCATTAAGCAATTTTGAATATATTATCTGATTTATTTTAAAAATATTTTTTAAAAAGACTACAAAAGTGGCAGTAGCCACTACAGGATGTGCTCAGTCGCTTCAGTTGTGTCCAACTCTCTGTAACCCCATGGACTGCAGTCCACCAGGCTCCTCTGTCCATGGGATTCTCCAGGCTAGAATGCTGGAGTGGGTTACCATGGTCTCCTCCAGGGGATCTTCCCGACCCAGGAATCGAATGATCAACTCTTATGTCTCCTGCATTGGCAAGTGAGCTCTTTACCACTAGTGCCGCCAGAGAAGCGCACTACAGGATAACCTGTGTTATAATTTGATATCTAGAGTCCTTTTAGAAGTAATGACCTTTTAGAAATTCAGAATTAAGTAAAAACTATACTCAATTAATGTTGTTAGCTTGTTATATGAACCTAGAAAAACCTACTCATTTTTAAATGTTGGAGGTTGTTCATTATGTAGCCAGATATTCAGAAACTAATACAAAAATATACAGGTGGTAACAGAATCAGATGTGTTACCAGCCCCCCCATACCGGCATGTGTGTTGGACATCGTCTTATCATTCATTTTATGAGTTTATGTCTTAGTTTAGCTGCAGAAGGTTCCAACTGGACAAAGCTCAAGGTCACTGTGAACTAAGTGGAGGAGCCCTACTCCCTAGGAGTCTGAAACAATATTTTAAAAAGTAAACTCAGTAAAGCAAAAAAAAAGAGAGAGAAATATTAGTAAGCAGAATATCTTGATGTTGCCCAGAGTTGCTAATTCCTGCTCCACATGTTTTTTCCCTCTGGTTTGTACTTTATGATATTATCACTTAATCAGCTATTTGTCTGTCTTTATGGGTATCATCATCATTTTTGTTTTCTTTTATACAAATGCAGTAAGAATTATGAATCAGGTTAAGTTAGAATTTCTTCCTCCACTGTGGCATTTGGGAAGGATCTTTAAACTAGAAAAGCTTAATCAAAGATGTAAATGCTTTCTTGATTTCTTAGCATCATGTCAAAGGATGAGGTCAGATTGAACTACAGAAAGAGGTAGAGCCAGCACAGAAAACAAGAAAGAGGTGAATAAAGAATCAGCATAAAATCCTGAAAGCCTTTCTGAACTGGGCCTCTAGTCATTCATCAGGTGATCAGAAAACTGTAAAATGAAGTGCCCTAGACCCTAAACCACCCTAAACCACTACTAACACTTGTTTTCATAATGAATCAAAAGTAGGTTTATCTTGATTGAGAGATTCCAAATTCTGAAAATACCTAAAAATGATCCCCGCTAGTCCAACTGTCTTATTTACCAAATTTATGAAAACTGAGGCTCTCTCCAAAGAAAGGAGGTACGTACTTTTCATTAGCAGACGTCCTGTTTGGTGGTCAGCTCTCCATTCCCTAGCTGGAACTTAGATGCCCTTTGCTCTTCCTATGACGCCAATGAAATATATGCATGACTCCAGCCTGACTCAGAGGCTCTCCTATGAATTTTAATTTGTACGGAGTTGACTTATTATATTGTGTCATTCCTTTCTTTTTTGTGTAGGCATCTTTTTCTTTTTTCTCTTTCATTGCATTTGAATATGAAAAAACCCTTTACTTTCAAATATATTACAATTGCTTTTACTGCATATATTGATACTACTATATTACATTAATAAAATTATTATGTTATACTGATAAGTGTGAAATCAAAGATATGGTGTCTTTAAAAACATGAGACTATAATACAGGAAAAAATATATAAAGTAAAATAAATAATTAACATTTAATTTTATGGGTTAAGTAAAAGGTAAATACTCTGCATGATTCTAATATTCTTAATGCTTACAGTAAATTTTTTAAATAGTTTCCAGTAGCAATTTCTGTTAAACCTCTTACTTTTTCTTTCTTAAATTTACCCTTTTACCCCAAACTTTTAACAATTTACAAAGATCTATTTGTATTTGTATAGCTAAGAACCAGTATTTTCATAAATTTAATATACACTAAATTTTGAACTTTATTCTTTAATTGACTTATTTTTAGTCATTCAGCACTTTGCCTAAAGCAAAGCACCTTAATTGAAATTCTGCCAAATTAGAAATTGGTTAACTATTTTCAAATATTTATAATAAAGCCAACAGAATTTTATTTTCTTTAGGACAAAGAATTACCAGACAGATGTAGTATCATTCCTAAGATGTCTCAAACCTGACACCTCCTTAAAGTATTAAATGAACCTAACTCCATCCTGACTAAGGCATTAGCAGTAACTTGGCTTCTGGAAAAAATACAAAACTACATCACTGTCCCCGAAATGTGGCACTCTGTTACGTCCTCATTGGTGTCAGAGTCACATGCCCTGGCAGGAGAGTGAAATTCATCAGTGGAGAGTGAGTTTTCATGGAGGTCTCACATTTGAAAGAGCACTTCTGTTTCTGTAACTCAGAAAAAGTAGGCAGAGTTGACGTGACAGGTTTTGTAGGAGCTTCTATATGTTTATTATAAGTTATGAAAGCAGCAGCCCTTTTATCAGGGCTTCCTTCACATCAAGGACTAATTCCCCTGCTATATGATCAATATGAATTTCTCCTGAGGAAGCTGCATTTCTCAAAATACATTTAATGTATTTACATTAAAATATTTAATTGCTCAATAGGACATTTAAAGAATCATGCTTGATGAAAAGTCAAAGTTATTAAACTTTTAACAGATTTTGAAAGTAAGTAGATATAGTAGTATAAAGTAAGTGTAGAGCGTTTCCTTCAAATTACAAATGTGAAGAAAATTGTGACATTGTGTCAAAATGATGAATTATTCTTTATTCCAATATAAAAAATGTTAACATGACAGTCTTTCAAAATTCTTCATTTGGTCTCTTGACAGGAATAGCAGAAGTCTATATACAAATTTATAGGAAAGGAGGATTTCTTTAGTTGGGGAAATAATTCCATGCACATTCCCTTACTCTCAGTTTATAGTCCTCACTGCTTGTTACTGGCATTTGCCAAATAAGGGGAGACTTTGTTCCAGGGGTCAGCACCATGCCAGAATGTGTCCTACAGCTATAAATTTTTATTGTATTAGAAACAAATTAATTCATACTCTGTCAAGTACAAACTATCATTTCAATGTTTGGAAATATTATAGGAATGACATAATATATTTACATAGCAAGATAGTTTTAGAGATAAGTAATATTGGAATTATGTTTACGCCCCAGTAACAGTATTAAATTCAGCTTCCACCATGTGAGCATGTTACGTTTTTACATCTATTATGTAAATAAAAACCAGTTCTGATTGAATGAATCCTGCCAGTTAGTGTCATGTTATCAGATGTGACAATTTGATGATAAAAATTACCATGCTACTTGAAATACATGATCATAAATGATGTTAACTTTAGGTCACACACAAAGTTATGTAAATAGCTCATTTCTGAACATACTAACATATATGCATTTCCTTTTGGATTATTATTTAGCATATGACTTTCAAAAATAAATCATGCAATCATGAATAAATTATTTGGAAATATAATTTTATAGATATTCTATAAATTTGGAATTGTGAAATTCTTTGCCCAACACATACATGTGAGAGATGGAAAATTAAAATTAACATTTAAATACCTTCAACCTTAACTGCTATCATATGAAAAATTATTAAATAGACATGGTCGATTTTCTAGACTTTTAAAGTAAGTATTATTGCCCTATAATTATCTTTGTATATATAGAACCACAATTTAGCATCATTTTATGTAGTATTCTTTAGCAAGACAATTTTTTATACAAATTTTTGAACTAGTTTGGATTATTTTAGATTTGTTAAAACTCACATGATATAGAGCACAGAGGAAGGATGAGTCTTTCTACAAGTTTAACAAACATTTGATATATTCACACCTAAGCATATAAGTGCAGAATTAAATCACTTGATAAGAAATATAAATAGCTGGTATTGGTCATGTGTCCCTTTAGTTATATGTTCTTTTATTTTAGGTAAGAAGTTATCTTACCTTCCAGTACCTAACAATAGAAAGTCAATTCTGTATTTGTTATTTTAAAATTATAGATACTTACAGAACCTTACTATTTATTATGATTTAAACACCCATAAAAATGTAGACTGTATAAAGCTATTCACTGTGTGATTTGTTGCAATAAGACAGTAACATAGAAATAGAAAAAAATGCACTTTTGACACCTTCACCAATTTTAATGTTTACCTAATGATTTCTAAGACTTTAGATAATAAGTACTAAAGACAGATACAAAGACACATTGAGGGGCTTCACTGGTGGTTCAGTGGCTAACACTGCGCTCCCAATGCAGAGGGCCCAGATTTAATCACTGGTTGGGCAGCTAGATCCCACATGCCATATAAGACCCACACAACCAAATAAATTAATTAATTAAAAAGTAAAGACTTTTAAATATGAGATGTAATGTATATTGAAATTTTAATAGGAATCCCTTTTTTAACTTTCTCTTTTTAATTTAGTTAATAGTTTAAAATGAAAATGAGTAATTAAACCATAATAGAAAGAAAGTCAAAGTTCTGTCTTTGCCTCGATCCTTCGCTTGACTTTGGCATAATCCCTTTGCTTTATATCAACTTTTTTTTTTTAGAGAGTTATATTTTTTTGGTAAAATGTGGAAAAATGTGACATCTTAAAATAGGGAGAGTGTGTAGGGTAAATTAAATGTCAGTTTTAGAAAGACTGAAGAAGCACAGAAGCAGTCTATTTCATGGGTAGAGTTGAAGGTGAGTAGAATTTGTAGGCAGTGATGAAAATAAAGGAAAGAGAAATTGAGGTACTGGAGAAGATGAATAATGCAGTTTTGAGGTATGAAGTAGGTGCGGGTCATTTCTTTAGTGCATTTTCCGCCCAAGCATTGACACTTCTGATTATTTTGTCCTCCTAGAGCACTTCTTACCGTTCAGAGGATGCGGGATGGTTCTGTCGGAAACCATGCATCATGCTAGTGTTGGGTCATTTTAGATTTCACACCTAATTTTATGCAAAGTGCACTTTTGCTTGATGCGGACAGAGTAGCCGCTAACCTCACCGTGTGTATCTCTGCTTCCCAGCACCCAGTAACGGAGCTCACATGCTCTTGTTTTCACTCCTTAGTATAACGTACACACAGATCAGTACAGAAGCTGCGACAACGTCTCCGCCCGGTCCTCAGACAGCGACCTCAGCGACGTGTCTGCCGTGTCCCGAACCAGCAGCGCCTCCCGCCTCAGCAGCACCAGCTTCCTGTCCGAGCAGTCTGAGCGGCCTCGGGGCAGGATCAGGTGAGTGGGCATCACTCGTGCCACCTTGCCTCCTGCTTATTCTCGCTCAGAGTTTAGGTAGAGGAGCTGAAGCGTTTCGTTGAAATGACCGGGACTAGGGTGGGTTGAGCCTTGGTTCACTGTTGTGTAATATTGCCTGGATTCTGTGGTCCTTCCCGTCAGGTGGGGCTTGTAACCGCAGAGCAATCCCTAAAATTCCTTCTAATGTCATTAAATCCACAAAGCATTCTTCAGTCCTGTGTTGGGAAGCCTCTCTGTAAAGGGCCCGGTAGTAAATGCTTCGGGCTCTGCTAGACAGCCTCTGTTGTGGCGATTTACAATGTCATGGAGCGAGCGCAGTCATAGTCCGGTAAAGTTTTATTTACAGAAGGACAGAAAGCAGGCTACATTTTCCCGCAGGCTGTAATCTACTGAGCTCATCTTCAGTCCCCGAGCAGTGGTGCACCTTCAGATGAGAGTGAGAACAGAATAGACATCCCTCTTTTTTGCATTATGGGACTTGTAAAAGATGTGCGTGTAGTTTGTTTAAATCACCAGCAATTATCTTGGTTCTCACGAGGTAAATAACCCTTGCTGAAATGAAAAAGACCTCAGGAATCTGGTCCTGGCTTCAGTAAAACAGACTCAGTATGGACAAGGCACATTTTGTATTTGCTCTTAACTAGTTCCCAGAAGTAAAAGTTTCATTGAAGGCATTTCAGGGTTGTTGGGAGGCCCATGAAATATAAATGTTCAAAACAGGAGCAGTTATCTTCCTAACACTCCGAAAGCTCGTATGACTGCACATTTCAGTGATGATCCTGGAGCGTTCTGTTTTCTTGGATTTCGTTGCACCTTGCTCACCTGTTGGTGTAATTTGAGAGCAGTTATCTTACTGTTAATTAACAGTGTCTCACTGAGAATCTACAAGAGAAGTTCTGATCAGTCAAGATATTAGTGGAATGTTTTATTTCTATTTTGAATATTCTCTGCCTCTGGTCCTAACAGAATATTAAGTTCTCTAAAAGCGAAGAAAGAATTAGAAGAGCTAAAGAATATATCCGTTGAGCTGCTAGGATACAGGGTGTAAAAATGATTCTAATTGATCCTTTTATATTGAAATATTATTAAGATACTCTGTTTCAGAACCTATTCAGTTTAGCAAGAATATTAATAAATAGGGATTAAACAAAAACTTTTCACTTTTAATCACTAAAAACAACTTTATTTATATTCATGATAGACTCTAGTGGCCTGAGTCCTATGGTATAAAGAATGACTAATTAATAGAATTCATGTCACAAACCAACTCTGAGAATGCTATGTGGGTCCACTGTCATTCTCTTGAAATTTCAGGAGAATAAAGTCTTCAAAAATTTATCTTCAGGAAAAAATTGGCAACATGGCCTTTAAGGAAGAAAGCAAAGCACAGGAATTTTAGGCAGCTCAAGGTACTGTGATTTTGTACAAAGGATGAGAAGGAACTACAGGATTGGAGCCAAGGTTACTTCGTGGAAAATGATAGTTTATCAGATCGGTTCAGTTCAATCGCTCGGTTGTGTCCCACCCTTTGCAACCCCATGGACTGCAGCACGCCAGGCTTCCCTGTCCATCACCAACTCCCAGAGTTCACCCAAACTCATGTCCATCGAGTCAGTGATGCCATCCAACCATCTCAGCCTCTGTCGTTCCCTTCTCCTCCTGCCCTCAATCTTTCCAAGCATCAGGATCTTTTCCAATGAGTCAGTTCTGTGCATCAGGTGGCCAGAGTGTTGGAGTTTCAGCTTCAGCATCAGTCCTTCCGATGATAACACTCACTATACTATACCATGATACGAAGTAGAAGGTAGATGATGTTTTGCCTCTTTGATTCATATGATTTCTGTTGAAGTTGGTGAAGACAGAGATTAGACCTGGAAACAGTACAAGTGAATTTCTTAATGACAAATCTGTTTTCTCTGGGCATTTCCCTGTTTTCATCTCCTCTTTCTTGTCTCTGTAGCTTGGAGCATGTTTGAGTTATTTTTATTTAAGTGGATTATGTAAAGGCAGGCAGTTAAACTAATGGCTAAACAAGTTTCCCCTGAAGCTAAGGTGAAAATTATTTTCCTGTGGCCTGATGTTCAAGGTCATAATTGGTAGATGTTTGATTTCTTAGAACACTTAGGAATAAAGAGGGTAGGATGAGATATGGAGCGGCAAGACTTTCTTTTGACATTTCAAACCTGGTTATCTTTTCATTTATGTTCTTCCCCAGGAATATCCATAGTGCACAAACACACATGTTACACACACACACACACACACACACACACTTGCATCCACCATCAGCCTTGCGGTAAAAACTTGAGAGGAGAGTTTGTAATGAATAAACAAAGAACAAAATCATATCAAATGTTTGCAGGCTCCTCAATCTTAAATATCCCCAATACTTATAACACTATGAATATTTATTTTTCTCAATATAATACTGTTTTGCATTTCTTTATTTTTAGTAGCTAATTACCTTCATAGGTTTTAAAATTCTATGTATTCAAGCTCATATATAAAGTATCTGGTCAATATGATAATAGATATATTTACATTTCATAATAGGTACCAGCAAACCTTTGAGATCCAATCAAGCATAAGGACTTTATTATTTCCCAAGACTTCATGATAGTATAATATCTATGCCACACACTCAAGGAGATTATAATCTGTTTAAGAGCTTAAAACCTATTTTTTATGTTCTGGTTCCTTATACAAGAGGTCAGATCTTTGACAATGTGGGCAGGAAACTGAGATGGTTAAGATAAAACCAGAACTCAGACCCTAGTCTTTTCTTTCCACCTTGAACACAAACTTTTCCCCACACTTAGTTAATTTAAAGATTAAACTATGTGCTGTATTTATTGAAAAAAATCAGCATATAAACTCACTTACTTCAAACCCATGTTGTTCAGGGTTCACATATAAGTATCTTCGCTTATATTTTCCTATGAAACATGAAATGCTTGGCTCTGTGTTGACTGGGATGGGTTTTATACTGAAAGGCATTAAGGATTAGAAGACACTAGAGCACCTCCTGAAGACAGTGTTCAGTATCTAAAAGTCCACCAAGTATCCAGTACACTCCAGGAGGACCCAGAGAGAGAGAAACCACTGACCCCATCTTGTCCATATCATATAGAACCATAGTATGCAGGCAATTAAATACCATATCTGGTTCTGATTCCATCTATCCAAGTATGTAATGAACCAAGAAAATGTCAAGATAGGCACCGCTGAGATGACCAGTGGGCTGCCCCGTGTGATACATGGGCCGGCATCTCCCAAACACTGCTTGCTGCACTTGCGTGTTAATGATTCACAGGACAACCTACAGTTCTTGAGGTTTTGCGAAGTTCTACCCTGTAACAGCTTGTTTATCTCTGCTTACTCCAGCATATACCAAGCTTATTTCATTCTAGAAGACCTATTTCCCAGGGACATCCATTAATGTGTTGCATAGTTTTTAAGTGAAGTTTGAGAAATTCCATTTTAGATAGCCAGCATCCTACTGCCTAAGAGATAAAAGGCTGTAAGCTCAGTTCAGTTCAGTCGTTCAGTTGTGTCCGACTGTTTGCGACCCCTTGAACCGCAGCACGCCAGGCCTCCCTGTCCATCACCAACTCCTGGAGTTTACTCAAACTCATGTCCATCGAGTCGGTGATGCCATCCAACCATCTCATCCTCTGTCGTCCCCTTCTCCTCCTGCCCTCAATCTTTCCCAGTATCAGGGTCTTTTCCAATGAGTTAGCTCTTCTCATCAGGTGGCCAAAGTATTGGAG